ACGACACACGCTACTCCTACTTTACGACACACGCTACTCCTACTTTACGACACACGCTACTCCTACTTTACGACACACGCTACTCCTACTTTACGACACACGCTACTCCTACTTTACGACACACGCTACTCCTACTTTACGGCACACGCTACTCCTACTTTACGACACACGCTACTCCTACTTTACCATTCAAGCTACTTCTACTTTACGACACACGCTACTCTTACTTTACGACACACGCTACTCCTACTTTATGGGAAGATATATTAATTTGAAGGTTCAGGCACGCTTATTGCAAGGTTTTAACTCAGTTGATTGACTCAGGCGTTGAAATTTATTTTGAGAACATGGGATTTTTGCCTGAGAACTGTTTTCCGTTCGTTAAATTTTCCGTTCAGGACTAGATGATGAAATTGCAAAATTATCTACTAACAACTTATTATTCTCTTGGAAACATGAAGAAATAACAGAGTGGTGTTACTGTTCACAGTCGGATGCTTGAAGCCTCTGCAAATTAAATTTTCCTAAACAAGTTCACTTCTTCCTATTTGGCACGTAATAATGCTTATTGTACCAATCATAATATAAAATTAGCAGCGTGATATAGGAATGAGTATGAAGCTGTGGCCAGTAAGGTGCAGTGTAGGAGTGATGTAGGAATGAGTATGAAACTGTTGCCAGTAAGGTGCAGTGTAGGAGTGATGTAGGAATGAGTATGAAGCTGTTGCCAGTATGGTGAAGTAAAGGAACGAGTATAAAGCTGTTGCCAATACGATGAAGTACAGGAATGAGTATGAAGCTGTTACCAGGAAATGGCAGTGTAGGAGTGATGTAGGAATGAGTATGAAGCTGTTGCCAGTAAGGTGCAGTGTAGGAGTGATGTAGGAATGATTATGAAGCTGTTGCCAGTATGGTGAAGTGAAGGAATGAGTATGAAGCTGTTACCAGTAAGGTGCAGTGTAGGAGTGATGTAGGAATGATTATGAAGCTGTTGCCAGTAAGGTGCAGTGTAGGAGTGATGTAGGAATGAGTATGAAGCTGTTGCCAGTATGGTGAAGTAAAGGAATGAGTATGAAGCTGTTACCAGTAAGTTCCAGTGTAGGAGTGATGTAGGAATGAGTATGAAGCTGTTGCCAGTACGGTGAAGTCAAGGCCTGATGTCGGAGTACGGTCGTTGGTTTGTTGTTCTAAACTCATTTTTCCCTCGACTTGAGCTCGAGGCTCGTGCGCAATTGCTGTGCGCGGTGTGCGTCGCTGTATTGCGCCTCGTCGCCTTCTTAAATACCACACGCAAGCGCTCATGGTTGGTCAATGCGCGGCCGAAAATCGACCAATGCGCGGCCGAAAATCGACCAATGCGCGGCCGACAATCGGCCAATGCACGGTTGAGAATCGGCCGATGCGTGGTCGAGAATCGGCGCTTGCGCGGCTAAGCTTGGGCACACGCTACTCTCATGATCATCTTTTACGCCACGTTACCAAAATCTTTCAGAATCGCAGACAGATTTTATTTATTTTATATTTCTTTACCACATTCCCGATTATTCCTGCCTGTCATATGCCTGCGTTTCCCTCATATCTGTTCTCACTACTGGAAATTGAAACTTCATCAGGACCACCCAGCAGTCGGTTATACACCAAGAATATAAAAGCAAAGACGTTTTAATGTAAAAGAATATAAAAGCAAACACGTCAATAACGTTATCGAAACCAAGTAATTTTTCGCATATTCTATTACATTTGAATCTCCTCCTTTTTAATAAGGTATCACTAAAGTTTGTTGATGTGTTTGTTTTTAACAGTGAAGTATGTCCATTCTACGGCCACGCGCATAACGTGCGACGCCCACGGAGCTGCGACCGCGCAGCTATATATATAAGTGCGGCGTGTGCGACGTGTTTAATACATGTTTATTGACCCAAGCTCTCACCCGCGATCTCGCCACTCCGCCGCTTACAATTGATCGCGATAGGGAAACAGAATCTTGTTCTGGCGTAGGTGCATCCGTTGAGCGCCTTCTCGCGTACACACTCTGTGAGATGGGCTCGTGCCGATCATCAATCTCTTGCATCGAAAGTTAAAGCTCAGACTTCTTATTCTATCGCAAAGTTCATGTATTTATTTACTTCGAAATGGTTGTAAATATTTGGTATCAATAAGGTGGAAGAATCTCACTCAAGATTCTCAACAGTGAATAAGTATAATAAGCGGTTGAAATTTTTAATGAAATTCCACATTTAAAACTTTTTTTGGTAAAATAGTTGTCAGTTCATTATATGTTTGCTACCGGATGAGCGTTTTTAACGAATTATACAAATAATTTTATTCTAACTACAACCTCTTTTTACATTTGTTCTACTTGCGAGTTTGCGCAGAGAAGCAATTGAGCTGTTCTGACTCCATTAGTTTATTCATCTTATTGTGGATACTTATAGCTTGCGCATATTCACTGATATGCCCTTTTGCCCTGCCAAACTGGGTCAGAATGAACAAAAATGCATCGCTATTTGGACAATGTCTGAATAATTTCAATGAGTGTGGTTATTTGCAGCGACTCAGTTGAGGACGAGCTCTCATTAGATTATACAAGCCTGGAAGCATGCAGCAAAGTCTAACTGGATAGATAAATTGTCATACAGGCAATGCAGAAATAAAAGATTTGTATGTTGACTGCAATTAATGGTATTAATGCGGAGCACTGCAAGATATATGAAGTTACTTAACTTCTTCTTGATGCCAGAAATTTGTATATCATTGTACCTTGTTTGTCTTACAATCAAGAGACTCTAAAGCCGCCCTTAAATGGTTAGTGTTAATATTTCATTATTAGATGTATTCTCATTCTCTTAATATTATATTCTCATATGACTAAACCTCGTTAATTCTTATAATATTAGAAGCCCTTAGCGTAAAAAAGTATAATTTTCTTATAGGTGTAGCAGTTGCCAGCCCAGCTACCCGCGCTCATCATTGATCCCTGCGCATAGAATCGCTACGTCGGAATGCGCGGTCGTATTCTACGCGCCGATCCCGCTACGTCGCTGTAGGAATGCGTACGTGGCGTCATGCACTATTTACCAAAGTTAAAGCTCAACGTAATTGGGTTGCCAGCTGATACTCGTGGTAATAAAATGTATTTATTATCATCGCGGGAATGGCGCTGCTCACTTGAATCTCACGTCTCTTGACTCCATGGCTTTGCCGTTTTAAAAAAATCCACTTATTTATTTAATTAAATATATGTTCGTAAACTTAGAATGATATAGGATAATTCATATTAAAATTAGTTTATAATAGAATATATATCTGTGATCGCTCGCTCTTCAGAGCCGACACATAACGAAATTATCTTTCATAAAATTTGTCGCCTGCTGCCCCCGCATTTTTTTTTCAGTGGCGATGATCAACGATGCCGAGGATTAAGCTAATTGCACTTTTGTTGATGCATTCAATGAGCTGCAAATTACAGGCGATTTATTGGTGGCCGACGAATGGCCAGTGCCGTGCGGCTAGAATTTGCGATTATGTCGCCCCCAGTGAAAGCGCAACGTTGATAAGCTAGCGCCCCAGCCGTCGAGTTCTCGGTATTCAATACTTATTTACTCTACAATTTTAATGTAGTATATATCAGTATATAATAATTTTGTGCTCCTGCATTGTTCTTAAATACTTATAAGTATTTGCAAAACTTCTTATCAGCTACGTGAAAAATAAATGAAAATATTTATTTGTTTCTAGGATGAGATATGTCCCCAATTAAATAATAGATGCTAATGATGCTATTATTTGTTAAACATAATATAGGATCGTGTAATTTTTACGCATTAATAATGGTATTAAAATTTTTTCAAATCTTATTTGGTGCGTAAGCTGATCGTTACCTATACATAAATATTGAATCCGGCAATTTCCGATATACTTCTCTTAATCTATATCATCAAGTTTAAAATATATGTACACAATTTCTTCACAATGCGGAATGCATTCAGTTTATGACTTCAATAAATAAATGATACTTTTTTATGTTGAGAAAATGTTCAGTTTAGCGTTGCTCTTTATGAAACTCAATATCATTCTCGTCTCCATACCATTAATTAAACTATCGCGCTCCTGAACGCTCATATGAGCTTGTGTGCTGCAAGAACTGACATTTAATCTCATTTTAATTACAACCGAATTATCGTCGGCCAAGTCACGAATTATATACCAGCCACCCACGAAGCGCTCGTTATTTTCAATAGTGAACCGTCGGCCCGATAGCATCAACAGCCCCCAGCTCGAGCTGCATTTCATGTGTCGCGCGTGCTGCCCAGGGTGAAAATAAAGCTACGTCAATAGCTGGCATGTGAGACTCGAGAAGTGTAGCAAAAAATAAAATTTTTGACCAGGAAAAATATATTTAGAATGAAAAATTTTAAAGTGCTACAATTACATTACCCTCATGAAAATTCCAGAAGCGTTCACGAAGCATGCATCAAAAATAAACATTTGAGTACGCAATACTTTTCAAGTCCCCAAAAAGGGGGTACAGAGTGCTCTCCAAAGTCCCAAAATGTTTCTACAGAGTACGCTTCAATTAAGCCCCAAAAAGTGTGTGCAAATTACGGTTTAAGTCAAAAAACAGTTTATAAAAATTTCGTTTCTAATCCCAAAAAGTAGCTACACATTGTGGTTCAAGTCGCAAACAGTGAGTACAGATTAAATAAAGTACGAGTCTCCTTACGTATGTACGGATTATAGTTCAAGTTCAAAGAGAATGTGCACTATGTACACGTTCCATCAGGTTGGTCTCTACGAAATATGATCTTATATTTCCGTAATCTTTTAGTGGAGCAGATCTGGTGTAACAATGCAAAGATTTCACGAAGTATTTGGTGACTTTTACGAAATATGATCTTAAATTTTCGTAATCTTTTAGTGGAGCAGATCTGGTGTAACAATGCAAAGATTTCACGAAAGTATTTTGATGACTTTTCTAACGGCTGTTCATTTCTTGTCAGGCTTCTTGTGGGCGCTCCGAAGGACCACAACCTGCAGCCCGGCACGCACCGCTCGGGCGCCCTCTGGAAGTGTCCCTTCACGTCCAACTCCTCCGACTGCGTCCAGGTCCACACCGACGGTTTCAAAGGTGGGTCATGAGACCGCATCCTGGATACCAACGACGCTTCATTTAGTGGATAACTATAAAGATTTGGAACATAGCAAACTGTCCTTATTGCGACCAAACTGCACCTACACGGTGCGTGCTGTGCCGACCAAGTTGTGACTGTTAAAATGATTGCTTAAAACTTGTTAGCCAGTCGTTAAATTCATTATAATGTTGGTCATAAAAAGTTTACCCTTCACCAACATCGCTGCTTCAACTCTGTTCTCAACTCTGGTTAGCACAACAGCTGTAGCTCCCAATCGAGAGAATAACGTTATTGACTTGCTCTTATTTAATTCTAGCCATCTAGATGAGAATTTTACTTTGCACCCGTTTAATAATATCTGCTGGTTTAATGGCATAACAATGTATATCTTTACCAGTCGTCGCTACAGCTAGCGACTCAAATTTTCGTGACCAATTATGCAGAATTATGGCAAATATTTTCTACAACTCGAGGCAGTCATTCGCTCATGCACTCAATTGTGATTTTTCGGCAGTCAATCTTTCACGTCTCACTCTTACGACCTTCGTCAATCAAGCAACCAAGTTTATGCTTTCTCACAAGGCGTCGCGGTTGCCGCTCTCTCGCGGCCTGCGTTGCGTCGGATGTGAACGGTAGCGCGCTATTGGGTCGCAGCTTTGGCTGCAATTAAGTTAATGGGCTGGTAGATTCATGAGTATGCATTTTTAACTTCCGTTCGTGTGAGTTGCTTATGCTCTAGTGACTCATTGGGCTGATAATCATATAAGTGAATGGTTTAATTTGGTTGTAGTACAACTAGTTAAGTGGGTTGGTGGTTTGATGAGTGTGTGTTTTTCGGTATATGTTCATGATTGGGCACATTCTTCTACAACAATACTTTGTAGGCCGATAGTTCTGTTGGCGTTAGATGGAAAATATCTTCTAACTACCTTACCACTTAAATTTTGTGTCAATTGTCATTGCCTATTATTCGTTAATATTGTTGTTGTGAAATGTGAATAACTATTCGTTAATATAATCTTAAAAGTCTCATGTGGATGCCATTGCCAGACCGCCGCAGAAAATCCACAGGTTAGCTTAGTTCAAGAGCTCATTAAAGGTTATCGTGTCTCTGAGATCGCCTGCTTTGATAACTCTTGAAGTGACGCCAGACGCACGACTCATTGCGTGGCTGCGGTTGCCCGCTTTGCTCACGGGTTTACCTCCTAAGCAGAACAGAACAACGCGCGGGAAGACTTGGTGAATAACTTGGATGTAACTCATTCGCCGAGTAACTACCAGTTACTCGGTGTGTATAGTGACCAGTATAGTGACTCGGTGACCAGTATAGTGACCCATCGCTGGCCAAGAGTACACAATTCTTTTAAATTATCCGATTTTTTATATTTCTCTTCCTTATTTTCAATATAATTGATTTGGAGTTCTGTTTTGCAGGTGTCGACCATGTTTTGAAATGTTGAAGTAATGCATATTGATAAAACAAGGCTGCATGGTTTCGATGCTTCCCTATATATTTGTCCCACTGAATGAACTTTTTGCAGCCTAGATAAAAAACGCTGTAAAGAATCAGGTTTAGTTAGTATATTCAATTATAGATTACGTATAATTACAATTCATTACATTTCAACTTTCATACTGATCATCTGATATTCTCTGATGAAAAGTTAATGAAAGATACTGAGTTACGTAATTTCTGAGCTAGTTCGTCATCGCAATTGAAATGTGTGGCAAATTTTAGTCGTCTCCGCGCAGAAGATTTTATATTCGTAAAACACATTTTTTAGTTGAAAGACTACAAATCACCAGTATAAATCAAATTTTGTCATATAATAACTTGATGTATAATTCTGATTTTCGTCTTGCGTTGCTCAGACGCCAACGAGAACCTGCTGCCGCCCAACGTCGACGAGATCAAAGACGACCAATGGCTGGGCGTGACGGTGAAGAGCCAAGGTGTTGGTGGTGACGTGCTGGTTAGTGGCTCTTGGTGACGTGTTATATTCTTATAATCAAGCCAACTGTCATATTATAAGGCCTTCTCTTTTTTACTTTATTCCCTTTGCGAATTTATTTTATTAATAACTTTTCACGCAATTAGTGTGTCGGAATTTTAAATGATCGATGGAAACTTCAGTTGAGAGCTTCGCCCTCGTACACCTCATCAAAGTGCATGGCCGCTGAAAGGTCCTCTTCATGAACACCTCTTTGCCACTTTCAGGCATTCGAATGAAGCCTCATAGCGCGGCTGCTCAGCAAGCGTAATCGTCCTAGATCTCAGCAGAAATTTGACGCCACTTCACATTCCAGCTCACTCTATATTAATGTATTCCTCGAAACTCTTTATTTAAAATTCAATTTACTACGACGCAGGTGTGCGCGCATCGCTACATGCACCGCGGGCCAGGCTTCCAGTGGGGCTTCGGTCTCTGTTATTTGCTCAACCAAAACCTGGACATGACGGAGACCATGGAACCCTGCAGGGGTAAAGCCGTTGCCAAGTGAGTGCTTGTCGTATTGCTTTTCATAAACCATTTTAGGTGCGAAGTCAATCCTTAGCACGATATTTTTTATCAGCCATGTTTCCGACATGAAGCGGAAACAGCCGTGTTTCCGCTTCATTTTATCCCAAAGAAAGTCTGCTGATTCCTGGGTATATTAAATAATGTAAATTATTTATTAATCACAAGGGCCGTGATGAAATTCGTGTCAGTCGATTTATTTCTTGCATAAACTACTCAGATAGTTTGCATTTCGAATCTAATTATATTCATAACTAAATTTGCATCTTATTCATTCACAGGGGCCACGAACAATACGGGTTCTGCCAGGCTGGGATGAGTGGTCTGCTCCTGAAGGATGAAGTGGTTTTGGGGCTTCCTGGCCCCTACACCTGGCGGGGGACCGTCCACTCCCACAACATCTCTAAGGACTTCTTTTCTAGGGACAAGACGCAATACTTTGGGCCTGTTACAGAGAACGATTCTCCTGTGGACAAATACAGCTATCTGGGTGAGCTGAACTTACTATATCTATTGGTTCTTGTTATCTGTGCAACTATCAGGGAGGGTTAATTTTCGTTGATTCCGTAAACATTGTAGTCTCATGTTTCAGCCCCAACGACTACATACTTAAAATTTGTTTTCCTATGAGTTAATATTTACGTAAAATTTCGTATAGTTTTGCTGCTCCGAGTTTCTGGTAGAAAATAAATCTCCGTTCATTGTACTTTCGCCTCTAGACAACAATGCTGGCCTACTTTTAAAGTTGTCTCAAAATTTACTCTTAATTATATTCTTAGTGCCCCAGGCTACTTATAACTCAGTGTTCCATTACCACTAGTGCTCATGGTCTAATTCGTGAATTTTATTGGCAGCTACGGTATTATAACCGTTGCGTTTACTTCTGGTACTTCTAGAATCTAGGCTACTCGGTGACGACGGGCTATATAGAGACGGGTGAGTGTCATAACAAGGACTGTTTACGAGAAGCATTTACCTGAGCAGGAGCTGTACTTTCAAACATATATAGTTACGAGCAAAGATTCAACCATGGTTACGAGTTCATATCTCTGGCAGCCAATCACTGACATATTTTCAAGCTTAACTCATTAATAAGAAGACGATATACCGGCCGATACGTTTATTTAGGCCGATTCATGTTTTTTGTCAACTTTTGAAAGTACAGCCATAGCCCTCGAACTGTTTTAAAAACCCCAATTTTTAGTTCTCGACCCCCGACTTTGCCTTGCTTAAAATTGTTTACAATGAAGCCTGCTTTGCTGAATTAAAAATTAAGATGATCACACTCAAACTTTTTTGAGATGATTGACGAAAATAAACATTAAATTTCCCTGGCAGGCGAGACGATTTGGTCGTTAGCGCTCCCTTCTACAACACCCGGCACGCGTCAGGCGCGGTCTACGTCTACACGAACGGTCGCACCGGCATAGACCGCGATACTCCCTACGCCAGAATCGAAGGTAATGCTCATATATTATGTTTAATTCCAATATATTATATATATGTTATATTAATAATAATATATATTCTAATATAATATAGTATATTAATATAATGCCATTTTATTAACGGTCGCACCAATATTGCCTGTGACGCTCCTGCGCCAGAATCGAAGATAAATCCCATCAATAACTGCACCTGAAAATGAGCATCCTTTTATTGCAGTTATAATATACTTTAAAATCGGTGGAGTGCCTAACCGGAATATCCTTAGTATTCTTAGTATGTGTTTCGGATGCGGCAGTCCCAGGTGCCGCCTCTCTATTCAGCCGCCCTCAGCCCCGATAGGCAAATCGTCCGCGCCTCCGAGGTCTCATGGACCAGTATGTAATTATGCCGAGGTCTCATGGACCAGTATGTAATTATGCCGAGGTCTCATGGACCAGTATGTAATTATGCCGAGGTCTCATGGACCAGTATGTAATTACCACACGTCTGCCCATCAGTTAGGCCAGCTGATGCGCGATGACAGGTGTTGCTGGCTTCTTGCCGCCGGTAGTGGTGCTGAGGCGGACGATCATGAATTGTCCCCTAGAACACATCCATTCGTCTCCTGAAGGTGTCCAGGATCAACTCACTCTTTCTCTCTCTCTCTTGAATCTTTAGCAAGGCGTTAAACCGTCTGAGCTCCGCCACGGAATGAAATCCTTCCCACATAGGTTGATATATGGCCGCAGATCTGTTACGTTTTTTAGAATTGTGTTCGGGCCTTCCTGTTGATAAAAACAATTAATTTGCTCACTTACACTCACAGGTCCCGCCGGCGAGAGCAGATTTGGCTTCTCGATGACTTCGCTGGGCGACCTCAACCGCGACGGTTACCTTGACGTGGCCATCGGCGCGCCCTACGAGGACAGGGGCGCCATCTACATCTACCTGGGGTCTGCTGACGGTCTGGTGCTCGAGCCCTCTCAGGTACTGGGGTCTGCTGACGGTCTGGTGCTGCAGCCCTCTCAGGTACTGGGGTCTGCTGACGGTCTGGTGCTCGAGCCCTCTCAGGTACTGGGGTCTGCTGACGGTCTGGTGCTCGAGCCCTCTCAGGTACTGGGGTCTGCTGACGGTCTGGTGCTCGAGCCCTCTCAGGTACTGGGGTCTGCTGACGGTCTGGTGCTCGAGCCCTCTCAGGTACTGGGGTCTGCTGACGGTCTGGTGCTCGAGCCCTCTCAGGTACTGGGGTCTGCTGACGGTCTGGTGCTCGAGCCCTCTCAGGTACTGGGGTCTGCTGACGGTCTGGTGCTCGAGCCCTCTCAGGTACTGGGGTNGCAGAGTGTGCTGCTCAGGTGAGCAGAGTGTGCTGCTCAGGTGAGCAGAGTGTGCTGCTCAGGTGAGCACAGTGTGCTGTCATGTTGCCAAAGAGGAAGGCCTAAAGTGTGTTCATAGGGTGACAAAAAGTGCTCATCAGCTTATTAAAAATTTATATTATCTTCAGATATTTCGAAGAGTTTTAATATTACATTATTTCACATGCAGATCTCGCCCAGTGGTGGCCATCACGACGGTGGTGTTGCCCGAGGGCGGCATCAACGACATCGACGCCAGCAAGACCGGCTGTCCGGACCACTGGGACGCCAAGGAAGCTTGGTGTGTTGGAAATGATGTTTCCAATTTCGTTGGTGGTTCTTCATCATATTTTTTGTTTTTATACATTTATTGACAATCTGTTCTTTGATATTTCCAATTTCGTTGTTTTCGCTACTCCAGATTTGTGCATTTTAAATATTTATCGATAATCTGCTCTTTCGAAACGCACTTTTCGACGACGAAGTGGTAGAAAAGCTACATTTTCTGTTTTTGGTTGCATTTATTTAAGCTTTGTATTCAATTACGTGAAATATTTGATAAATTCAATTAGGGATAGCTTTATAGGCCACCCAATTCATTTTTTTCAGAGCCAGGCATTCGCTTCGTATTATATGTAGTATTCTCTCAACACATTGAAAGGCATCGTTGATCATTTCCCTACACGTCTGAGGCTTGCTATTTGGCAACCGGTGATAGTAATATCTAAGAATTTACCTTCCTTTTTAGCAGCTCTAATAAACCTTAACCACGTTTTTTGTGCCGAAGCTCCTCGTTCAAGGCTTGATTGTTCAAAATATTCGTCAAAGACGAATATAAAAAGTCTTGAACTATCTTCCGCCCCTCGCTGTTCTCACCCCTCGCTGTTCTCACCCCTCGCTGTTCTCATACCAAATTAAAAACTTTCTCCCGTCCTCCAGCTTCTCGTTCGAGGCTTGCTTCAAGATGGACAACGACGCAGGCACTCGCACAGGACTGCTGCTGTCCTACAGCATCGAGGAGCTGGTGTATCGCGACCAACCTCTGCCGCGTGTTTACTTCGAGAAGGAAGGAACCACGCAGACCTCCGTCGTCAAGAAGAAGATCCAACTGCGCCCTGAGGACATGGGGCGGCACCAGTGTACTAGGGAGGTGGCCTACCTCAAGGTGGGTGTACTAGGTGGCCTACCTCAGGGTGGGTGCACTAGGTGGCCTACCTCAAGGTGGGTGTACTAGGTGGCCTACCTCAAGGTGGGTGTACTAGGGAGGTGGCCTACCTCAAGGTGGGTGTACTAGGTGGCCTACCTCAAGGTGGGTGTACTAGG